ATAAAAAAAAGGAGTTTAAATTATTATTATTATTATTATTATTAAGTTAAAAATTTAGGTTAAATTTTCAAATCAATAATAAACAAAAAATATTGTGTAACGTTACGTTTTAAGTATTAATAATTTTATATCAAGCAATAAATATAATTATTATTATTATAATAACGTTCCTTCCTTCACATATCAATTTTTTAAAATTTACTTAACTATAAAAAATTAATTAATAAATTTAATTTAATTTATTATTATTTGATTTTATTGAAGAAAGATAAATTTTGGATATAGACATGATGATTGGTCGTTAAACGACATTAAATAATATAAATAGTTTCTTTTTTTTTAATTAAAAAAACCTTGATGGCAATTTAAAAATACGAAATTTTTATTATTATTATTATTATTATTATTTAATATGATGTTAAAATTAATTCACCGGAATTTGATTTCTTGCCCCATTCGGTCAATTAATTATATGAATTATTAGGAAAAAAAGAAAATTATGCTAAAAATTTCTTTTGTGTAGATAAATAATAATAATAATAATAATAATCACCCTTTACACGCATTATCTTTATTAATAAATTTATACGAATGAGGGTTGACAAGTAAAACACACTATTTTATTATTATTATTATTATTATTATTATTATAAGAAACTTTTCATCCTAAATAAAATGTCGACTGACTTAGTTTTATTTAAAATTATTTATGTATTATTTTTATTTTTTATTTTTTTTTTAACGATTGAATCATGAGAGAAAAAAAGAAAAAAAAAATGTTCGATTTGAAAAATTTCCAAATTTTCAAATGTTAAAAGTCATACATGAAGTCATTATTATTATTATTATTAATTTATAAATTTTGTTTCAATATTAAAAATTTTTTTTTATAGGAAACAACAACAACACTGACGGTAGGCAAATAGATAAAAAATCATATCAATGGTTTGGTGCGACAGTTCGAAGTTCTGGAGAAACTGGAATAGTATTGGTGAGTGTTGATTTAAATGTTTTTTTTTTTTTTTTTTTTTTTTTTTTTAATTACACACAGAAAGCTTGAAAGCTCAGAATAAGTAGTTAAATGTTAAGTAGAAAAAATTTTATAAATGTCACATTTTTATTGTTGAGCGCTTTTGACATTTGTGAGTTTTATTAAATGTAAAGAATAAGTTTTTAACTTAACAAAAAAAAAAAAACGTACGTAACGAATATTTTGTATACAAAACACAACATTTAGTTAAAGGAATGTTTTTTAAGTAGGAACACACGACGACTATTTAAAAAAAAAAATTATTTTATCCATTCTTCAATTACACGTTGATTTTTTTAATTTTTTCATCGGTTACGAACAATTTTTTTTCAAGAAAAGGTAACATTAAAAATAAATCTATTAAACATGTCTAGAGCCCATTTTGGTTGATCCATTGGCACAAAATGACCGGCATTACGCACCATTATTTCCGTTAGATTACCGTAAGATCTTACGTATCCTGCTACGTCTTGCTCAACTTTCCAAATTTGTCTTTTAGCTTTTTTAAAATTTTTTGTTCCGCTCCATTTGAGATCCTTTAATTTATAAATAAATAAATAAATGAATAAAAAGTAATGATAATAATAATAAGTGAAAAGCGTAAAGGATAAACTTACGGAAATGAAATCTCTACTTGCTACATATGAATCCCTTAAATCCATTTGTCCATAATATAACCAAACTCTGCATTTATCAATGACAAATTCTAACCAGGGACGAACGGATTCCATTATTTCATTATATAAAATGGTGCTAACAAGTGTTGAATTAGCAAAAGGGACGTTTCCGACGTGAATGGCCGTTCTCACCTAAATAATATTACAAAATTATTGGATTTTTTTTAAATCCCGGTTGAAACGTGATTTCAAACTATTTATTATAGATAATTTAAGACTCGAATATCGATTCCTTTTACTTTCTACTATATATTATTCCCTTTCAATAATTGTCTTTCACATCCATGAAATATTATTATTATTATTTTTCGGTAAAATCCATAGGATTAATTTATAGTTTGAAGTTTACTTACGTGTTTTTTATTTAAAAATTTTCGTACGTTTCCTTTAGGTGCACCGTGTGCAAACAAATAATTATAAAAATTTGTATATCCAGCATTTTTTCCAAAAATAACATTTATCATTTCCGTTCGTTTTGTTGCGGCACCTGAATAATTTCCAGCTTTTATCAATTCTTTGATTTCGTTTTCCGCTTTTTCCATTTCAAATTTTATTTTATCCTCTGTTAATCCAAGTTGATAAAAATGTTCGGCATAATGAAGTTGATTTATAGGATCTATTAAACCGTTTCCGATGGATATACCATCCAAATGCAAATCCGTTTTACCATTGAAAAGAGCAAAAGCTATGGCCGGTATGTATTTTCCAGCGTACGATTCTCCGGTGAGAAAAAATTTATTGTTTTTCAATAAAGGAAATAAACGGAAAAATTCTTTTAAAAATTTTAAAAAATTATCAGCAACTTGCACTTCGTTTTTGCTGTAGCAGGTAGAATTTTTGGTAAAACTGAAACCCGCTCCGACAGGATTGTCGACGTAAATAACGGAACTGTTTCGATTCCACGAATATTTATTTTTCGTTAAATTTCCATCAACGGTTAATCGGTAGGGTCCGTTTTCCGTGAGGAGACCCAACATCGATGAGGATCCCGGTCCACCGTTTAACCACACGACCACCGGATCGGAGGATGCGTTATTTTGAGATGGAAAAAACCAAAAAAACATGTTTGATTGACATGTCGAATCCACCGTTAAAAACCCGGAAAAACTCTTAACGTCGTCGGGCATCAAATTCGTAACGGCAGCTTTATTTTGTGCTTCTTTTATTTTTCCTTCGGATATCAAAGGTGATAGAATTAGAGGCGGTTCTTCTTCGACGGCGAAAAAATTTCTTATACCATAATTATGGTTTAAACCGTTTACGAGAAAACAAGACGCGAAAAAGGTTATCCAAAACATATTGTTAAATGATTAGCGCGACATTCACATTGGTACTGTTGTAAAAAAAAAAAAACATAATAATAATAAATAAAAAAAAAAAAAAATAAAGTTCGTCCTTTAAATTATGATATTATCTTTATCGTGAAAATACTTGGTGATAAGAAACAAATAGATTTAAGTACAAACAAACAAGTTTTTTTTTTTTTTTTTTTTTTTATAACAACGTTGCTTTAATTTAAATTTATTTAAATCAAAAAGTTTAAGATAATTATTTTTTTTTAAATAAAATTTTTATTTGATGGAATATTAATAATTTATATTTTAGTGTTTTTACAATTATTACTCAAAAAATTATTAAAAAAATAAATTTATTTGATTAGTGACGTTGAACACGAAATTGAATCCGTTGTTTGCTGTCGTTGGATCACATTTAGTGGATCTTCCCTGTGTTTTTTTACTTTTCCCAAAGTTTGGATTTCATTATTTTCCCATTTATTTGTTTTTTTGCTTTTCACTTATAATTTTTTAATTTTCTCCACGTTCGTTTATACAATCAGAACCTACACTTGTTTCGAGAGAAGAATTATATTGGAAAAAGGCAAACATAAAAAGTTTTAAACTAAAAGGTTAATTATTTAATTCATGAATAATAATACTAGTTGACAACACATTCACTGATTTAGATTTAAGACACAATTAAATATTGAGAGGAGAATCCCTCTTCTTTTTGTCCAGCTTCCTTTTATATATTAAACTAATTGAAACAGTTATGAAAAGTGTAAAAATGTTTATAAACAAAAAATAGAATAAATTTCAAGAAGGTTCATTTATAGAAATATAATATGTAACCATGGTGTTATTATGTTATTATTTATAAACAATATAGAAATGTAAACATATTTATGACCTTTAATTAATTTTTCCAAGTTTATTAAAATTAAAAAAAAAAATTTTTAATTTCAGGCTTGTGCTCCAAGATACGTTTGGTTTTCTACTACAACAGCATACAGAAGAGATCCCGTGGGTACTTGTTACATAGCAAAAAATTACTTTTCTGAATTTTCCGAATATTCACCTTGTCGAACTCGTAAGTATATATTACAAAATATTTTTTGATTTTGATAAGATTAAAATTATTTTTCAACGCTGCTGGTTATGAGAATATTCGTGTTTATAAACCAGATAAAAAATGATTGTGGGTACTAGACATACGCACTCGACACACACGCACACGCATACACATATATATATAAATCTTAGCAACTATCTTTTTTATCGAATGTGTGCAAAATAAAATAAATAAACAGAAAAAAAAAAGTAAATGTTTACAATTTAAAAATTTAAGTTTTATTTCTGTCGCTTCCGTTTTGTTTCACACCATGTGATTTTTAAATAAATTTCTTTCAAAGAAGGGTTCAACCAAGTTAAACAAGCTGATCAAATGATCTGGTGTTTGTTAAAAAGAAAAATGTGATTTACGTGTGTGTGTGTGTGTGTGTGATACATTTATATTAAATACAAAACTTTTTGAATATTCATTTTATTGTCGTTTATACACACGTAAAAATTTTATTCTTAAAAGGCAAAAACTTATTATAATATAAACGCACACGCACACGCGCACACACACGCACACCATGTTGCCCAGGCTGTTCCATAATATTTTGATCGCCATTCATTTATTGTTGCGTAGGCAGAGCCAAGCCTTATTTTAGTTGCAAGAGACAACTTTTGCGTGAATTGAATATCATTTGCTATTTTTATTTCATGTTTTTTACATGACTACACACGCACACACACACACACATATTTGGTGGTATTTAAGCGCACTGTTAATAATTTCTTAAACATTTTTATAGTTATTATTTCCATCAATCATTGAAGACTGTAAATTTGAATGTTTGCAAAGATTTCCATTGAATTAATGGATGATTTTATTTTCTCGACCATAAAAATATATTTAAACTTTCATCGCATGACTTATTATTATGAAAACTTTCTTAAGGAAAGTAAAAATACAAAAAAAAAAGACGTTTTTAGGGCGGCTCCCCTAAAAATTTTCTGATAACGGAAAGAAAAAAAAAAAATTTATAAAAAGGTTTTTTATTGTTGTTAACACCACGAAATGTGATTTCTAAAGTTCTAGGGAAAAAAGAAAATTCTTTTTTTTCTAGAAATTCAATTTCATCTTTTTTTTTTTGTTTCAAGCTTAATTTTCTTTTGGTAAAGAGGGGAAACAAATTGATTATTTGCATTAAAAAAAAATTTTTTTTTTTTTTTTTAGGTAATTGGGGTTATCACAGACAAGGATCATGTCAAGCTGGCCTTGGAGCAGACGTATCAAAAGTAAGCAAATAATTATAATAATAATAATAATGATTGTTATCATTATCATCCGTCTACCGTTTGCGATTTCACCTGTGGGAAATTTTCAAAAAAAACAAAAAATTTTTATCTTTTAAATTTGATTTCAAAGTTTAAAAGTCTCCTTTTTTTTTTCTCTCTCTCTCTCTTTCTCTCTCTTACACAAACAAAATCCTGTGTGATTCATTTTTTTTGTTTTTGTTTAATTCGTTTCTGGAATATTCGTTAAAAATTAATTCAGTTATAAAAAAAGAAAAAAGAAAAACATCCTACATTTGTGTTAAGTTTAAATCACTTAAGTCATGCATCCGACTATCGCGTTTTATTATTATTATTATTAATAAATGCAGTTGACTAATTCCGTTAACTAACCATTGCGGAGGAGTTTAATTCTTTAAAATTTTGAATTAAACTCGTTTTTACAAAATGATAATAATAATAATAATATTATTATAAGATTTTAAAAAAGATTATCATCTAGGGTTACGTAAAAAATTTAAATTTTATAATTTCAGAATGGCAACAGATTATATGTTGGAGCACCTGGAAGTTGGTATTGGCAAGGTAAATTTTTTCCTTTTTTTTCCATTCATTCTATTATTATTATTATTAATATAATCAATTTTTATTGATTTATTTAAATTATACATGAATGAATTAAATGTTTTTTTTTTATATAACGTTTGTTTTCGATTTATGATTTTTTATTATTAAAAAAAAAAAAAATGATTTGTTTTTGTGTTGATTACATAACATGATTGAAAATAATTTTAATAATAAATAGAAACATTTACCTCATTTGTTCTTTCGTTTTCGGTTTAACAATTTAATTAATTTTATTTTACGAGATATAAATTTTTAATTATTTCAGAAAATATTTAATTTTTTTTGGGTTGTATTTTTTAAATAAAAAAATATTTTAGGACAAATCTACGATATATCACCATCATTTAAGATGCCCACTGTCTCTCCTGATTACAGCAAAAATTATGAATTAAATCTCATCGAATATGAGTCAGGTAAAAAAAAAAAAAAATAAAAAATGGTGGACTGGAAATATCATCCATAAACTTAATAAGAATTCATGGAGAAGGTGTAACATTAATTTTTTTTAAATAATAATCATACATGGTTTACGGTTGTGGGCTTAAACTCATGTTTAAAATCTTAATTGATTCATAACCTTTGACACTCGCTCGTGTTTTTGGGTTAAAACGCTTTGGAATAAGGAGTAAAAAAAAAAATTTTTTTTTTAAAACTGTCGTCAGTGCTTAATAATAATTCTTTTTTTTTTTTATCCAACAGATAGTTGATTTATAAATGTTTACATCGTTCGTTAAAAAAAATTATATATGTATAGTAATGTCCTGAATTTTTAGTAATTGATTATTAATAGATTTTAGTCATCATTTTTGTTTTAATTTCTTGCATTAAAAAAAAAAAAACTCAATAATTATTAAATGTCGCTTAGGATAGTATGTATGAAATCGATTTGTTATAAATTATACAAAGAAAAATTCAACAACAGCTTTGTGATTAGTTTTTTTATTTTATTTTAATTTTACTAAAAAGAAATTAAGCATAAGGTTCAATTGCTGCTTGGTGATGGGTTGTGTTACATATTTATATTATATATCGTTTATTATCGTTTGCAATTTTATTATTGAATGTATTGTATCGTTATAATGAAATATGAATTTAAGGACGAGGAAAAACTAAAAAAATAATATGGAGAAAGAAAAACTAATAGTAATTGTAAATCACAGGTCAGCTTTATGCTCAAAATCCAAACAAAAGACCTGAAGTTTTGGCCACATCTGAAGGTTCGCCTCAAGATGATGATTCGTATCTTGGTTATTCAGTAGCTGCTGGTGATTTTGAAGGAAGAGGAGAAGGTGGTGTAGCTGTAGGAATGCCAAGGGGAGCTGGATTATTCGGAAAGGTACATTTGCTTAAAATCAATTTTCATTTTGTTTTTTGATTAATTATATTTTCTTTAGAAATATAATCTAATATCATTTTATTACAACATATATTATTTTTAAATTTTTTATTTTTTTTTATTTTAGGTGGTTTTATATTCAGTAAATTTGACAAATTTACAAAACCTGACAGGTCATCAATTGGGATCTTACTTTTCGTATTCACTTGCTGTAATAGACGTCGATGGAGATGGTTTAGACGACGTTATTGTTGGTGCTCCTTTACACACCGATTTAAATAACAATGAGGGAAAGTATGAAAACGGAAGAGTGTACGTTTATTTTCAAGAACCAAGAATCGACGAAGATGGATACTACAGCCGATTTGTCAAGTAAGAAAATATTCTAGTTAAAATAATATTCTATATACATGTAGTAAAACAATCAATGATAATTATTTTTAACTTTGTACAGGTACGAATTTAGAGATGGTAAAAACTCTAAGGGACGTTTCGGTCTTAGCGTAGCAGCTTTGGGAGATACTAATAAAGATGGTTACGGAGGTAAAAAAACAAATTTTATTTTTTTTTATAAATATATTTATTACCCTGGTATTTTATTAAAAAATGTTTTTCTCAAAAAAAAAAAAAAGAGGTTTTTTTTATTTATTGATTAAATGATTTTATTGAATCCGTTTCAGATTTTGCTGTTGGTGCACCGTATGATGGTGCAGAAGGTCGTGGAGCTGTTTACATATACCACGGTAAAAAAGGAGGAGTAAGGGAAAGCTATTCTCAGGTAAAGAGGAAAAATTTTTTTCTTTCTCTCTAATTTGTTTTGAATGAATTTGCGTATGTTTAATAAATTTTTCTGTTTTCGTATTTTCTCGTGTGTAGGTCATAAGGGCTGAAGATTTATCGGTGCCAACGTCGACATTTGGATTCTCGATTGCCGGTGGTCTCGATATGGATAACAATCAGTATCCCGACATGATTGTTGGTGCCTACGAAAGCGACACAGCATTATTTTTCAGATCTCGACCCGTCGTTAAAATGGTCGATGCAAGAGTTTCATTTAATTCAAAGACGAAGCAAATTAGTTTGGAAGAAGAAAACTGTACTCTAAAGGATTACTCAAAAGTTCCTTGCATTTATCTTCAAGCTTGTTTAAAATATAATGGAGTTGAAGTAGATAATCAATTAGGTAAGCATGAATCAAAAAAATTCTTTAAATTTTATTTACAATAATACATACATATTTTTAACTACGTGACGCATACGTATTCAAACAATCTAAAAACTAGATAAATGAATAAATATTTATTTGTAATTAATTAATGTCTTTTCGATAAGTTGTTTGTTAATTTTAATAATATTTATTTAAATAGACGTTGACTTGGGAATCGCCTTGGATTCGAAGAAACCCAAATCTCCAAGAATGTTTTTTTTAAATGAAGAAGGAAAAAGTATAAAAAATGAAACGATACGTCTTACAAAAGGAGAATTGAGCTGTCAAAGTTATTATGTCTATGTTAAGGTAAAATTTTCAAATTTTTTCAATTACGTTACCTTTCGTATAAAAAAATACAAATTTAAATTACCTTTAAATATTCGGTAAATATATATTTAAAAATTTTCTTTCAGCAAAACATTCGGGACAAACTTACTCCTCTCGAAGCAGAACTCAGATACAATGTGAAAGACAGCCAAGTATTCACTGGAAGAAGGTATACAAGATCCTTATCACCGGTTTTGGACGCTAATGAAGTTAATATTCAAAAAGATTCTTTATCAATTCAAAAGAATTGCGGACCGGATAATATTTGCATTCCCGATCTTCATGTGACTACCAAAAAGTTAGTTATTTGTATTGTTATTTTTTTCTTTTGTTAAAATTATTTTTAAAAAATTTTCTAAACCAAATCATATGTAATTTTTTTTTTTTTTTCGTTTTCAGAAGCGTTTCGAAATACCTTTTAGGTTCCGGAGAAAGATTTACACTTGATGTCCAAGTAGAAAACAAAGGAGAAGATGCATTTGAAGCAATGTACAATCTTCAAGTTCCACCGGGAATGAATTACATAAATATTGAAAGATTGGATTCTGATCGGAATATACCCGTTCAATGTTCTGCTCCCAGTGCAATGACTAACAACACCCTTAAATGTGATATTGGAAACCCGTTGCCAAAAGAAAAAATGGTTAGTAAAACAATTCATTGGGAAAAGAGAAAAAACCGAAATCGTGGGCTCATTTAAATTCGATTTCTTTCAGGTACGATTCAAAGTTTTGTTACAACCTTTTCACCGTGAAGGTATGAAATCCAGTTATAATTTTGTTAGTACTGTGAATAGTACTAATCCAGAAGACGAATTAACTGCGGTTGACAATGTGGAAACATTTACAATTCCTATTTGGGTGGAAACTGATCTTATTTTGCAAGGGTAAGACTTTTACTTTTTATTAAATAATCATTATTAATTAATCAAATTTTATGGCATGGCAATGTTGGGCATGCCCCCCAGTAGTACTTTCACGAGTTTTTTTTTTTTTTTCTCCAACAGATCATCACACCCTCCGGACATACATTACAATATGAGTCATTTTGATGGAAACATTCGAAATGAAAACGATATAGGGCCTCAGGTATATCATGTTTATAATATTCGAAATAAAGGACCCTCTGATATTTTGGAAGCTCAAACAATTTTTTTGTGGCCTAGCTATACGTTATCAGGTATTAAATAATAATTTAAATAAAGAGTGGCAACAAAATGACTACAATACAGTAATTTATAATTTTATTTACAGGAGATCATTTATTATATCTACTGGAACAGCCTGAAGTTAATGGAAATGTAAAATGTGAATACGTAGAAAATGTCAATGAAGAACGAATCGAATTAGATCGAAAAAGAAAATCATTTTTACACTCGGCAGCTTTTTCGGCAGCTCAATTCAGCGGTCACGGATATAGTAAAGGAAGTGGTAAAGCCGGCGGAGACATAGTTAAATCTCATGTTCAAGGCGGTTTAGCTACTAAAGACGGAAGTGCAAGTTTTAGCCGGCAAGACGGTTGGGCGGGAAGAAATTTTGCTGCTGGAAGAAAAGAAGCTTCCGGTGGCGGCGGTGGCAGCGGTGGTGTTCGTTATAGTGGCGGTGCTCGCGGCGGTGGCGGCGGCGCCGGCGGTGGAAGTTTTTCTTGGAACAGAGAAGGAGGATACAATGTAGAAGGATCTGGCAGAATGTCTGGCAGAAATAGGGGAAGGGAAGAGGCAAGCGGATCAGGAGTTTATTCAAGTAGCAGAGGCGGTTCCGTTGGTCGAGGTGGTGGTTCCCGGTGGGAAAGTAGGCAAGAAAGTGGCATGGTAAAAACCGGTACTTTTTCAAAGGGAATGATTCATTCGGATGGCGATTCACAAATGAATATAAATAGAAATCAGTTTGAAGAAGATATGGGTAGAGGAGGGTTTGTTGATTTTGAAAGTGGCGACGGTTCCGAAGCTCATCGTCACAGAGTTATGGGAAAAACATACGGGTAAGCGAATTCGAATTACGTTATATTTATATGTCGTAATAGAAAAAAAATATTTGAAAATCAAAAAAAAAATTTTAAATTATTCACAGTGATGTAAGGTATACAGGCTCGAGCAGAGCAGAAGGGGGTCATTTCTCTACAGATTTTAATGAAAGTAGAGGAACTGTATCAAGCAGTGTCCACGGTTCAAAATCAATGGGAAGCACAGTCACCGGTGCAAACGTCGATTCCAGCAGGAATTTTGGTAGAGATGGAAAAATCATGACAAATGCGTTTGACAGTAGTAGGGAAATCACCAGAGACGGTGCTAAAGTTGTTGTTACCGATGGCCGAGTGAGTGGGGGTACTGAAGGAGGAGTTGTTACTTCTTGGTCAGAAGAAAAAAGCAGCGCCTCTGGATCTTATTCAGGATCTGCTGGAGGAAGTACTCAAACGTAAGTTTTGTAAATTTTACACTTGAATTTTATTTTTTATTAAATTGAACAACAAATAATTCATAAAAGGCATAATTAAAACTTGTAAAATGATTGGGTTTATTTTTTTATCGATCGGTTTGCAATTCGATTATCTTTCTGTCAGTTTCAAAACTTCATTCTCTTCTCTTTTCTTTTCTTTTCTTTTCTGTAACTTCTTTTCTTATAACTTTAGTCATTCTTCCGAGGAAAAAAATTATGAATGGGGTTTTGGGCAAAGCGGTAGCGAAATGGATGGGAGTAGTTATGGAAAAGGGAGGTAAGTTGACATGCTGCAAATTTTGCCTTGGACTAGACATAAAAGAAAAAAAATTATCATTATCTTTTATTAATGTAATTATACAAATTTGGTTTTTTTTTGTTCATTTGAATTAGTATGGTATTAAAGATTAATTTACAAATAGCTTTTTCAGAGCCTTTGCCGCACAAAAATATTAATTAAATTAAATTAATTACAAATTAATTTAATTACAAAATTTAATTTGTAATTAATTACGCTTCAAAACAACTTTTTTTTGTTAATTTCAATGCAACATCAGAAAAAGTCATTTCAGGTGTACATTGAAAATATCATTTAAACGGTTTTTTATTTATTTTACTTTAATGTGTGATTTTTTAAATAACGTTTTTGTGCGTTTGATAATAAGGATTTTACTCCATATTAAATAATGACACAAAATTTTTTTTTTTCAGTACACAAGATGAAAAAAGATTCCAACAAAAACCATTGGTGTTTAATGCCACGGGATACTCCAGAGCGAGAGGAAAACTAGAAACAAATTTAAATAAAAGCGTTTCCGATGGAACAGGTCTTTATCATTTGTCATATTCCCCCCCCCCCCCGCTTATAGTATTTTATCAATTTATGATTATTAAAAAAATTATTTTTTATTTTGCAGCCAATGTAAAAAAAGCTTACGGTCAAAATGAATTTCGAACTGTGGCCTTAGATTTGACCCCTGGACATGGTTCAAATATTGGTATAAACATCGTTGGGGATTCCGTTGGAAGAAATGAAATCAGTACATCCAATGCTGGTTCTTCCGGAACAGAAATAAGTTTTGATGAAAATACATTCAATCAAAGGACTCGATTTCAAACCGAAGGAAGCACAAGAACAAGGGAATACGAAGAAGCTATTAATCGAGAACTTGAACGAAGAAGACTGGAAGCTGAAAAAGCAGCTGCAGCGGAAGCAGCTGCAGCAGCAGGCCTCGTCTTTGATTCTAAGAAAGTTGAAAACGTTGATTCTGATCAATCTAAGAGTACGCAAACAGTATCAATAAGTCATGATTCAAGCAGGTTTGACACATCGAAGAAGGAAGGTCATTTTGAAACGAAACTTTTTCATCCTCCAAAAGACGTTTTACTTCATTCCACTCTTTCTCCCACGGTAAGTGTCATTTTTCAATAATATTTTTAAATATTAATTAAAGGTTATTGTTGAATAAATAATACCAAATCTTTCATTATTTGCAGGATCACAGAGCTTACGAGTCAGCAAGAGGACATGTTGAAAAAAGTGAGGAGGAAAGAAAATTTGTATCTGGTGGATCTGGAGAATCATCCTATTCCCCGTCGAAAACTTCTACCGATAAAAAGATTTATCAAATACAAGGAAGTAGATTTGGTAATGGAACTCGAACTTATCAGATTTTAAGCAATGGCACAACAGTTTACGAAACTCATTACGACGGCAACAGTCAGGATGCAAATTCCAGGAGTTATGAATATGAAGATGCTTTAAATAGAGAGTACGAAAGAAGAAGACAAGAAGCTGCAGCCGCAGCAGCAGCGGCAGCGGCTGGAGCTGCTGCCTCTGCTGCGTCTGCATCATCGTCGATGTCATCGTCTGCGTCTTCGGGTACAACTCGTTCTAAAGAATCATATGGTGGAGACTTTGACCAAAAGCAAAGTAATAGATTTTTCGTCGATGGCAAAGCTGTGAGTTTTAGAGAACATGAAGAGGCTCTCAGGCGAGAATACGAAATAAAACGACAAGAAGCCGAAGCGGCAGCCCGGGAATTGGAAAGGATAAGATTAGAATCAGAAGCGTCTGGATCTACCTCATATAATGCTAGACTATACGAAACCATAGAAGCTCTAAGGGCTGAATACGAAAAAAAAAGATTAGAAGCGGAGGCGGCGGCGGCGGCAGCAGCTGCAGCTGCTAGAGGTACAGTAAAATTATTTCATAAAATTTATATTGAATTAAGTTTTAAAAAAATGTAAGAAAAAAAAAAATTATTTACTAATAAATACCGAGGACTCTCTTTTTGCGTAGTAACAAGACAACTTTAAATTTACTATTGATAAAAGATTTTTTTACTTTGCAACTTTCTCTCTTGTTATTATTAGTATTATTATTTCAATCTTTTTTCCTCCTTTACTCAATTGACATTTCCCGTTAAATGTCTTGTTTGCCCTTCTCTGTCGTGCTCTACTCCATATGTTGCAAAAATTTGCTTTTCAACTTTATAATTATAAGGAATGTTGGCACATACAATTATCCACATACAATTCATATCATAATATTTATTTTTCATATTTTTGTATTTTTCAATAAAATAAAAAAATTTAAATTTCAGCTAGATCAGCTGGAGAGTCTGCTTCTCATCATTACTCAACTCATTACAATTACTACACTAATTCATCTTGGGGTTCTGATGGAAAACCAAAAGTGGATAGTTCAGGACGGTGGTACGTCAATAATAACGGAACAGTTCATTCGGGTTAGTATGATATATTTTACTTTTTTAATAATCCACTAATACGTTCAACTGAAAAAAAAATTTATAAAAATATTATTATTGTTTTCTTTCCAGGATCTTCAGCATACGATCAGGAGAATAGATACTTGGAAGAAGGAGCTCGAAGATATGATGTTGGAAGGGCACAAAGTTTAGGCGCACAATATTTCAACGAAAGTTATTTCGATTCATCCCGAGGAGGATCTCAGGATTCATTCAGAGATAAAAATATTGATCCCGATTTAGGATACGTGAGAACGAGGCAAAATGATTTGGGTAAAATAATTTTAGTAAAAAATAGTTTTAGTAAAATAATTGACCATTCAAATTTCTGTATAATTTCTTTCTTTTAGATGGAATATCGGAGTCTAGATATTATAGAACCCGTGGAGAACCTCTTATTCAAAATTTTGTCGACGATAACGATATGTATAAAAATTATGCGGCTGATAAAACTTACGAAAGAAGAAAAAGAAGTTCAACTTTAATAACGAAGTACAAACGACAAGTAACGGATAATTTCGATTTGAAATCTTCATTGAGTTGTGGGCCGACAAATTGTACTAAAATAATGTGTACGGTAGGCCCTTTAAAAAAAGGTCAAGAAGCCTGGATAGCATTTAGAGGACGAGTATGGGTCGAAACGTTGAAAAAGGTTAATAAATATAAATTATTATAAATAAAAGAGAATGAAAAAATAAATACTCCTAATAAAACAATTTATTATTATTTTAAAATTTCAGATCGGTTATCAAAGAGAAATAATGCTTTCATCTCTTTTGGCCAGTCAAGTTACCAAATTGCCACACATAGGTGAGCCACACAATGCCAAAGTTGAAACCTACGAGGTTTTTTCAGAAATTATGCCTCAGGATGTCACTGTAAAACCGGAAGTTGTTCCCTTATGGATCGTTGTTTTATCTGCGTGCGCGGGAACACTTATTTTATTATTATTAATATTTTTGTTGTGGAAGGTAAATGAAAATGAAAATTTTTTTTTTAATAACCAGATGTAATATTCAATTAATGTCTAAATTAATTATTTTTTCAGCTTGGATTTTTCAAACGTAATCGACCATCGAACGCACCTGAAAAGCAACCTTTAAATCGTAACGGATACAGCGCAGGAGACGAACAATTGTGATCGAAATTTTAAACGAATCAATAAAAATCAAAAAAAAAAAAAAAAAAATACTTTTTAGAGAAATTTTTTTTTTTTTTTTTTGTTCGAAATACGATATAAAAAAAATTTTTTTTTCGTTTTAGTATTTTGCAATCATTATTGGTAAAATTAATCGACTCTAGTCAATCGAGTGCCTAAAGTTAGTTATTAAAAATTTATTTTATATATATATATATATACGTTTTTTGTATTTGGGTTTTTTTTTTTATTTACATTCTGCATTTAATCAAAAACAAAAATAATAATTTTGAAAAAGGGAAAAGAAAAAAAAAATCATTTAAATGAACGTTTTTGTAATTTAAATTTTGTTTGTATCCGTGACAGACTAAGCATAGAGTACAAATCATCACAAAAATAATGGAATTTAAAAAAAAAAAAACTGTCTTGAATTGTATTTTTTATTATTTTATTTTATTTTATTTTTTTGATGATAATTACGATTAATTAATTTAAAATCTCAAAAATTTTATATAAAATCATTTTAAATTTTGACACAAGTTTTAATATTACCAATATTTAATAATTAGATTGCATTTTTTTTTCTTTTTTAATAACAATGAACGCATAAAAATAATTTTACTATTGATTACGTCTTATGTAATTATTGTATTAAAAGTTAATAATAAATAATATTATGGATTAACGACGATGATTCCTTCGAAATATTAGTTTTAATTGCTTCATGTTATTATTATTTTTTTTCAATTTAAAAAATTACTGTTATTTCTAATGAACTTATTAAAATAATTTTAATTAATCGTAATTTAATTATATATTGTTTAGCTTCGTTTTTTTTTTTTTTGTACCGTGTTAGTTGTAGTTTAACTTATTTTAAAATAATATTTATAATTTTTTTTTTTTTCTTTTTGTAATTATTTATTTGTGTTCATACATTTTTATTTTTTTTTTTTTAAATACTCCAAGAGTACCAGTGATTATTTTATAATAAGTCATGGTGGTATAAATATTAATAAAATATTTAATAAAAGCTTTACTTAAGTTATAACGTTAACTGTTGTACTGTTAAATTAATTAACAAATAATTATTATTTCGATTGTAGTTTAATAAATAATTTTGTCAAAATTTTTATTTAGTTTAATTATTAACTAATTATGACTGTATTAGTGTTTATTATATATTTAAAATTAAATTTAAACTAATAATAACAAACAAATACATATTGATACTAAAAAAAAAAAAAAAAAATATTTAGCACTAATTAATAAATTTAATTTATACTTGTTTTTTTTTTTCTTTTTGTCGTCTGCAACATTTCCTACGAATATTATTATTTCAATTTAAAAAAAAAAGTTGAAAACCGATTTTTAATTTAAAATTATTATTACTGTAACTCTCGGTATGTATTATCACTAGAAATGTATATATAATCCTTTTCGTTATATTTAAATCAAAACCGTGTCATTTATGTATATTTAAACATTTTTGACTGTTTTTCGTTTCCGTTATTATCGTGTCAGGATCATTTCCGGTTTGTTAAATGGAACAGTTTTGTCAGTGTAAGTTTGTTGATCGTATTTGCATGAACTCGCTATCGATATCGGGCTTGGAATATAATTTCATAATTCCGTATTCACGACATTTATTCCATTAGAGATATTTACAGATTTTATTATGCCTCTTAAGGAATATTCATGTTTTGCCAATATCGGAAAACCGGAAATTAAATGATCGATGATTTCCGGACTGCGTAATTATTATTATTATCTCACAAATCACTCGTTTTAGTTTTTATTTATACCGATAGAACTTAAATTGCAAGCTTAATATTTAATAAAATATTTTTAAATAACTTTTTCGACAAAATTTTATTATTTTGTAATTAATTTGTTATCAAAACGTTTAAAATTATTAATTTTTTTTTTTTTTTGTGACACAAAATTAAACTGTAAAATATAATTTTTCTACAACTTTTATTAAAAAAAAAAACATTTTTATTTATTTTATATAGCAAAATTATTATTAATAATTTAAGAATCAAACGCATTGTTGGATTTTACATTTAGAAATAAAATTAATAATTATATTTTTGTATATATATATTTATCAAGATTAAATATGGTTAATTAAAGATAAATATTAAATGTAAAAAATTTTATAATTTAATAGATATAGTTATAAATTTGTTCTGAAAAAAAAATAAAAAATTTTACTTGTCATTGAATAACGATAAAAATAAAATTCTACCGTGTTTTTCAATATTTAAAAAATTTTTGGCGGTTTTAAAATTGTAGTTTTAGAAACTTTAAAGTTGCTATGTTGTTGCCATTGATTGTTTGATGCGTGTCTGTGGTAGTGAATTATTGAATGGCTACCATTGCTTCGTTGACTCGAGAACTTATAATGAAAATTATATCCATTTCAATCTGAATTGCTCAATGCCATCCATTAAAAATAAAGATATAAAGCGATTATGAAAATAAAAAAAAAAGCAATAAATATTTTTTAGAAATCATTATAAAATCAAACATGATTTGTTAAATACTAATAAAAAGTATTTATGTGAAAAGTGCTTAAAATATAATTTAAGAAAAAAGTACGTAATAATTTAGGGTGAGTAGGTATTATTCGGCTTTTTAAATTGTAATTAATTTTTAGATAACCGTATAATTTAAACTAGTTGCAGGAAAATTTATGTTGTGATAATTTTTTTTTAACGCAAGAAAAATGGCGTCAGCCATTTTGTAGTTGGGGTGTATATTTTTATTCTGTCAAAGGTTAAATAAGTGTTTGGAAACATAGTAAATTTATTATAATTTCATTTAAATTAATTAAAACTAACCTTAGTTTGGTTATTTACTGTTATAGTTTACAAATATTGTTACTCTAGTCATTTTTTTAATCGGCTAATCAAGCACTATGTATTGAGTTGACCTTGCAGAAATGGCTTATTAATTAATATAAATTACCTACTGTATTTGTTTATGATATATACATTTATGTATATATATGACATCAAATTTTTCTATAAATAGTAGTATATATTTTTCTGTATAAAATCTTTATATATACGTGTATTCATTTTTATTAACTTGAAAAAAAAAAAAAATTTTTTTTAAATTATTTATGAATTCAAAATTAAAATTATTATTTAATGTAATATTAAATTTTTGTCATGAAATATCTGTCAAAATATAAAGGTAATGTTATTTTATACGAATAAAAAATATTGTTTTCCATCAGTTGTACATAATTATTGTACTTATTTTATTATAAATCAAATAACTACTAAACTCATACATATTTATTTGTGTCATGATATATGCTTTAATTTTTTTTTTCTTTAGGGGACATGCCAAGTGGCCATGTTAACAAAAATGGGAAGGTTATTAGGAACAGAGAAAGTGAAGATCGGTACTGTAATGTCACTTACATATCAGGAAGTGATCATGATGAAAATAATAGATTATCCGGAGACAGTAATAGGTACTCATCATTTATCAGGTTTTTTTTTTTTTTAAATCAACTCTACTTAAAATAATTTTGTAATTAAAAATTAATTATTTCATTTTAGTTACAGAAAGGGTAATCGAATCATCCCACCAAGGAGAAAAACTAGACACTCAAAGGACAATGTAATTGCTGGAGGTGGAAAACCATTAGTTGAATACTCCGATGTCAGCTCTGAAACATTGTCATCTGGCCCAGAGCTGGGAGAAATAACGGAAGATGAACACATTAACCTGTCAGATGGTAAGAAATGGTTAAATTATTATTATTATTTTTTTTTTAACTAAAGCTTATATAATCGACAAGTCATCTTTCATCTTTTAGGGGAAGTTAGTAGGAGTGATCTTTATAGAATGAGCCAAGGAAAAGATATTTTGCATAGAACTCATCATAAAATTAAACACCATAAGTCTAGGTGAAACACCTATATAAAATTTAAAAATTATTTTCTATTAAATTTTTTTTTTAATATTTTAAAAAAAAATATTATTTTTAATCAAGACATAGGCATCATGAAGGGTCACCATTAGTACTAACTAGATCTCCTTCACTGCTTCCAATACACAAGCATAAAAAAAAACATAGAGAAGAAACACCAAGCAGAGATTACAGGTTAATAGTTTTATGTGTATAAATATAATATATAAAGTGTACTCCATTTATTAACATCTGTGATTTGTGTTAAATAAAATATATAGGGTAAAAAATTAAAAAATATTGGTTGAAAATACAAATTATTGAAACTTGTCTTATTTATTACATTAAGATAAACTTCAATAATTTAATCAATGACATTAAATTTCCTTTTTAGTTTAGAAGATGATGATATAATTTTACATTCAGAAAAAGGTCACTCAAAATCTAGGAAAAGGAAACATAGGAAAGATAAAAAATCCAGGCATTCATCACCCATAAGCAGTAAAAAAAAGAAAAAAAAAAGGCACAGGTATTATTATTATTATTATTAAATTATTTTTGTTTACATATATTAAAATTCGTTGAAATATTTACATTGTTTAGGACAGGAAAAAAAAAAAAAAAAATTTACTGACATAATTTTTTCATGTGTAAAGGGAATTATAGATTTTTAACAAAACAAATTTTTTAAATTTCTCATGCATGAAAATATTGAATGTAATATAAATTCATTTTATTTATAATAGACTAACAAAGAATTAAATTATTTTTAAGATCTCGGAGCAGTAGCGGTGCTGATATTTCAAGAACTCCTCCGTTACTAGACAGATCACAGGGACCTGTTTCAAATGTTTGGAATTCTCCGTGCGAAAAAAATACTTCTCCTGTATCACCATCGTAAGTAGAATATATTTCTTTTTTTCAAAGTATTACCGACCGATGAGGAAAAGTCGAATCGGTAAAGAAAATTATTAGTTTCCGAATGAAACGCTAAAAAATTACATTCAAACGTTCACAGTTTCAATATTTATTTATTATTGTTGACTCTGTATTAGTTTAAATTATGCTTATTTTTATTTTAATTAAGTATTAAATTACAGAACTCCATCAAAACTGGAAAAATCACCTCCTGCAGCTTACAAAAGAATTTCCGTATCCCCAGTTCATAGTGATCGCGTTTTAGAAAGGTATGTTCAAGTAATTTAATTTTTGAAATTTTTGTATGATTTTTTTTATATTTGTTTTAGCTTATCTTTTTTTATTTTATTATAATTGAATTTAAATTAATGTTTTAGGTACGATTCTCCTAAAAGATCGTTATTAACCGAAGTCAGAAGGCTTTCTCCTATTCTTCAAGGTTCACCACACACTCCGATTATTCCTGCCAAGGCTTATGAACCTTTACGAGACAGGTTAGGTGGACCTGGTTCGCCGGGAAGTGCTGGAATCAGTCCTGGAGATGAGGGCCAGAGGTTAGTTTTATTAATATTTACTTTTTTTTTTTTTTCGTAATTAATTTTTGAATGTAGTAAAACTGAAAAACACAATTCAATTCAGTAAAATATTCAGTTTTTCATTCTTTCTTTAAACGACTTCTCATGCATCTTCTTAATAAAATCTTCTTAGCATGTCCTAATTTAATTTATTTATTTTACAACAAAAAAAAAAAATGGCATTACACACCAAGTAACTAATTTATTGTTTTTTTTTTTTTTTAATCAATTAATCATATTTGTTGTTGCGATAATAAGTTGCAAGGAAATTATTTGCCTTTTTCGCATTGAAATTTTTAGTTCTAGAAGCAAAACTATAAAAGAAAAATATTTGCGTATATATTTTTTATAAATGTATTTTAGGAAATTAGTTTTATATGTTGTGATAATGTTTCAGATTAAGTATATCCCCTCATGGTTCTCCAATCAAATCCTCATATCAAGGTTCCTTAATCCTACCGTTTGTTCCATCATCTTTGAACTTATCTCCAAAAACAAACGATTACGGTCGGTACTGGTCGGTTGTCGGTAATTATTTTGAAACAACCAGTAGAATAAAATTTTTTAGTAGGGTAACAGAAACATCATTACGTTATTTTAAAAAAAAAAAAAAAAAAAAAAAAAAGAAAGAAAGAAAGAAAAAAAAAAAAAACTAAGAATTTTGTAATTGTAAAAGTGAAATTTTACATTGAAAATTAACAAAAAAAAAATTTTCAGAAAATAAAAACCTTGAAAAAAAAAGCCAAGAAAATTTTAAAATTAAGAAGATCATGAAATTGTCAGATAATTTTAAAGAAGGAGGTTTTACACAAAAAAAATTATTTAAATCTCATGAAAATCATATAAATCATAAGGAGGTTGTTAAAACGATTTACAGTAAACAGGAAAATTTATGTTTAAGTTATAAAACGGAAAATAGAAAAAAAGATCAAGTTTTGAATTATTGTGAAAAAAAATTAGAAAAAAAAAATTGCAAAAGAAAATCCCAGTGCAGTAATTTAGTTGAAGCAGGAAAAAATATTATTGTCTCCCCAGAAATAATTGATTCCGGTAAAAAAATTCAAGTTGAAACGTATAAAAAACCCAGCTTATTAAATCCGAAAGACAATTTGAATTCCGCAAATCAATGTTTAAAGAGTTCTGAAGAATTCGTTAGTAGGAATACTGTTGACAGTAATAATATTAAATCACATAAAAATAATACCAAAGTATCATTTTCTCAAAAGAAAAAAGAAATATATAAAAATATTGAAACAGTTAAAAAAAAAGCATTTTTAGGTAAACGATTCTGCCAGTCTCATTTTAAATTCGAAGGTGATTTTAAAAGAAATTTAGATTACAATTGGAGTAAAAAAGAAAGTGTTGCTTTGAGAAAAAATATAAAAAAACAATGGTCGGTTGAAAAAAGAGATTGTTTTTGGAAAAAAAAAAATGAATGTGGAATAAGAGAAAAAATGATAAAAAACCGAACGACTGTTCTCGGTAGTTCTGACGAACATTTAACTCCCTATTATAATTTTCCTTCCTCAGATTACGAGAATTCGGAAAATTCATATTTTCATAATGGTCTTTACAATAGGTAATTGCAGAATTTTTTAAATTTAATTTAAAAATTAAATTTTTTTTTTTTTATTTCAATATGAAGTTTCAGTGCTTCGTGTTTAAAATGTGTCGGTGAAAATTGGAGATAAGTGAATTTAAAATGTCACCCCCGTAGCAAAATGTTATTCTGGTCTTTGACAAAAAAAAAAATTTTTTTTTTTTTTTTTTTTAATATTGTGTCATAAAGTAGATATATTTTGTTATGTTTTTAATAATGATACCTTATTTTCAGATCTGACAGCAGCCCTTGTGACACCATGGATAAACGTCATTCATCACCCAGAAGATCATTATCTCCTCCCAGAAAAAGACGCAAAACTTTAGATAGAGAAAGAGGGAGAAGCAAAGAGAGAAGACGAGATAAAAGTCGAGATCGATTGAGGGAAAAAGAGAGACCTAGAAGTAGGGATTTAGAGCGAATGAGGGATAGAGAAGAACGAAGATACAAAAGAAGCAAAGAAAGAAGAACTCATAAAGTTGGCAAAAGGTGCGGTTTTTTTTTTTTTTTTAATTTTTTAAATTGATTTTACATTGTGATAATATAAAAATAAAAAAAAAATCTATAGGAGATCAAGGTCTAGAAGTTGGAGAAGATCACCGCCACAGAGTCCAAGAGATAAGTATGGTCGACAGTCTCCTTTTTCAGTCAGAGACAAATATAGAAGAATGTCTCCATTAGCTTCACCTAGTCCTAGAGATAAATACGGAAGAGGGAAATTATCGAAAAGATTACGATCTAAAACAAGAAGCCCCCCGATGAGAGTTGTAGGTTCGAGATCACCGCTAGGTGAGTGCAATCGCAACATAATTTTGAGTGGTAACTTTCAGCATATAATAAATGATGATTATTAACTTTAATTAATATCGGGTAACTAATTTTTTTTTTTTGAATTTTTGTGGATATAGGTTTAAAGACTTCGAAGGCTAAAAGATCCCGAAGCCCCGTTTCGCGAGAATTAGCTTCGTTTACGAAAATGAGTGAAACTTCTTTATTTGCGGAACTTGTGAAAGATAGAAATCGAAAAGAAGTTGAAGCGAAATTGGCTGCAGCTGCTAAGGAGCCGAAGAATACAGTTACAAGTGACATTCCAATGCCAATGTCGAAGGAGAGCGAAAGTGCTCCTTTATCTTCTGTTGATGCAGTAGATACGGTTTCTGGTTCTCTACCTGTTGTAAACGAAGGTTCCACTTTTCCAAAACTCGAATCGCCAAAGTTTTTCGGGGATGTTCAGAAAGAAATAGACGAATGTGCTAAATCTAACTTAAGTATAAGTGAACGAAAATCAATTGAAATGGACATTGAAGAAACATACGGGGGAAATATTCAAATTGAGTCCGGAGAAGAAAAATTAGAAAATACAAATAGCAATACTGATACGGAAACTGCAAAGATAAATTACTCTTCTACTAAATCAGAAGCGAGCGATGGTAAAAATGAGGTCATTAAAAAAGGCTCTTTTTCTACTTTCGATAGTTTCCGAAAAGGTTCTCTAGGAGAATCATTAAAAAAAACAGTGGAATTAAGCAAAAATTTAAAAACAAGTGATAAAAACTTAAAAAAGGAGTGTATAAAGTCAAAACATGGAAGTTTAATTAATAAATTACCTTTACCTCCGGGTATGAAAAGCACTGATTTAGAAAGCATCGATTCGCCGCCAAGTAGGAGTCCATCGCCTTTGCCCGTTGAAAAAAAGAAAAAAAGTTTAAGATCCATTAAAGACCTTCCCCTGCCTCCTGGTAAGCACTCTTAAATCTTCTCCAAATTTAAATTTTTGTTTTTTTTATTCATTGTTTTTAATCTTATAAAGGAGGAATTTATAAAAGAATAGAAAAACTGTGAACTATTTGTCACCGCAATTGCAAAAGAATAGCTTCACTCCTACATATATTTCCTAATTTCCAGAATTTTCATTTTTTTTTTTTTTTTATTAAAGGCACAGAAGATCTTAGTCCCGACGATAATATTACCTTATCCCCGTCGCCTTTAGAATCAGCAAAATCTAGTTGTTTGCCGACCAGCAGACAAGTGCCTCGACCAAAGTTAAAGCGTCCAAAAATTCTTAATAAAAGACGAAGTTCTAGAAATAGTCATTTGCCCATGTCGGCATCTGCTGGCAAGGATTGGGGTGAAAGATGCGTTGATGTTTTTGAAGTTATCGCCCAAATAGGAGAAGGAACTTATGGCCAGGTTATATAGTTTTTTTTGGAAAATTCCTCTTTTTTTTTTTTCCTCTTGGAAAATAATAATAAACCGAAAATATTTTTTTTCAGGTGTATAAAGCTAGAGACGTGCGATCAAATGAATTAGTAGCATTAAAGAAAGTTCGTTTGGAAAACGAAAAAGAAGGATTTCCAATAACGGCTGTGAGAGAAATAAAAATTTTGCGACAACTCAATCATAAAAACATAGTCAATTTAAGGGAAATAGTGACTGATAAACAGGATGCTTTAGATTTTAGAAATGTAAAATAACCTTATTTCCTTAACTTATTACTTTTTTTTTTTTTTTTTTTTTTGTTTGCTTCATTAATAAGTGTAAAACTATTTCAAACTCTCAATTTTACCGATTTCAAAAAATTCAAAAAAATGAAAATTAAATTTCTAGGATAGAGGATCCTTTTATCTTGTTTTTGAATATATGGATCACGATCTAATGGGATTACTCGAATCTGGAATGGTTGAATTTAATGACGTTCACAACGCTTCCATCATGAAACAGTTACTGGATGGCTTAAACTACTGCCATGGTAAAAATTTTCTGCACAGAGATATCAAATGCAGTAATATTTTAATGAATAATAGGTTAGTAGAAAAAATTCATACCAAAGCTAAAAATACTTCTTCTATTAGAAATACAGAAAGTTGAGTTAATTTTAACTAATATTTTTAGGGGGGAGGTAAAATTAGCAGATTTTGGACTGGCTCGACTGTACAGTGCCGAAGACAGAGATAGACCGTATACAAATAAAGTAATTACTCTGTGGTACAGACCTCCTGAACTTTTATTAGGAGAAGAAAGATATGGTCCTGCTATTGATGTATGGAGTTGCGGGTGTATTTTAGGGGAACTTTTTGCTAAAAAACCATTGTTTCAAGTAAGAGGATACTAATTAAAAATAATATTTATTTTCAGGCTTAAAATGCGCACACATTCGCATATTTACTTATATATTCATACCTCCACATATATATATATATATTTAATTTCAGGCCAACGTAGAATTAATTCAATTAGATATAATCTCAAGACTGTGTGGGTCTCCTACTCCAGCCGTTTGGCCTTCAGTTATTAAACTTCCATTATGGCACACAATCAAACCTAAAAAAATTTATCGACGGCGTCTAAGAGAAGAATTTTTTTTCATGCCTTCTACAGCGTTGGATCTTTTAGATAAAATGCTTGAATTAGATCCGGAAAAAAGAATAACAGCAGAAGAAGCCCTTCGTTCACCTTGGTTAAAAAATGTTCAGCCTGAAAAGTAAGTGAAAAAAAAAAAAATAATAATAATAAAAATTTATTATTAAAAAATATCAATAAATGATGTAAAACCTTATTCAGAATATTTAAGTGACGAATAAATTATTTCAAGACGGGTCTGATTAAAGTATATTTTAAGTTATTTTATTTTGAGCCATATTACAAAACATTATAATAATTATAATTTAAAAAAATTTTTTTTTCAGCAATATGTCTACCCTTCTACCGACGTGGCAAGATTGCCACGAACTTTGGCTAAAAAAGAGACGGCGACAAATGAAAGAACAAGAAGCAAGCCAAAATTTACCTCCAGGAAAACCCCCAGTGAATAAAGAAAAAGAATACGTCGAAGGAGGGTAAGTTTTTTTTTTTTTTTTTCGTTGAATTTTCATTTTTTTTTTTTTTTTTTTTTATTGGTCTCAAATTTTTACAAAAAATTTATTGACAGACCGTCTAAAGGAATTAAATTAGAAACCGGAAGTAGAAGTAATCATACAAATGACAATTCGGAAAATTCAAAATCTCCTCTTCCTGAAACGAGCATACAAAAACAACTTCAAACAATAGCACATGCCATAATAAATAAAAATCCAGTTAGAGTGGAACAATTGACTTCGCTGACAATAACAAAAGAAATTGATTCATTTGCTTATCAATTAATAGAAACATTAAAATCAGAATTAACAAATGCATCTAAAGGAAAAATTTTAGATCCAAAAGCTCACGTTTTAAATCCCCAGGGACGTCACGCAATGCAAGAAACTGTTTTCGATGCCCAAGCAGTATACGCAGGAGACAATGCAGTAAGTGTAAGTTTTATTTTAATTACATTTTTATTACGGGCATTATAATGAAAACGTATCAAGGGATCCATTTTAATTTTCATTCGGTTATACTTTTAAAAAAATGAGGTTTTTTTTACAATAAAGGGTTATTATAGGTTCTTTTTTTTTTTTTTTGATTGTTTTACGACAGGTATCTAATATAAAAAAACATAGCGGATCAGTTTTGGCGACAGATAGTTTAAGAGCTGGTTTGGCAGCTCTTTTACGAAAAAATGGTTTTTCAGCAGCCGCATCACTAATTTACCAATTAGGAAATACAGGTTCGTTAAAGTGACGTACTCTAAATATTTTGCTATAGTTTTTTTGTGCTAAAAAACAAAATTGAGTGAATGCTGCCGAAGTTAATATTATTATTTTTATATATATATATATATATATATATATATATATATATTATGTTTAATACAAAGTCGCGAAATTTTTAATTTGAATAATGGATTTGACATAAAAAAAAAAAAAGTGAAATTTAATTGTTATTTCGATTAACGAATTTATTTTTAATTTTTGTTTTTAAGTTTCTAAGCAAGTTTCGCAAAATAAAAAAAAATAAAAAAAAAAGAAAATGAAAACTGAGGATGGTACAGTTATTTGAACTTGCTAAAAAAATTTAAAAAAAAAAATGTATTTAATAAAAAAAATTTATTTATTGTTTGTAGTGATTTCATTTAAATTTAAAAGTTGATCAAATTATTATTAATTTTTTTTTTTCTTTTTTTTTTTTTTATGTAGTACAATTGACCCTTAGAACAACAAAATTGCCTATTATTATTATTATTATTATTATTATTATTATTATTATTAATTTCCCTTTATTATTATTATTATTATTATTATTATTATTATTATTCACATATCCAATAAAAAAAAAAAAACAAAAAAAGTGAAAATAATTTTATTAATTATTTTAATTCTTTTTTTCTTTTTCAAATCAATAAAATTTTCATATTTTATTATTATTATTATTATCATTTTTTAAATAATTAAACATTTTTCATGAATAACAACAAAAATGACGGGTTTCCTTTTTTTTTAACATTATTTTTCATAAATAAATTGATTGTCGTTAATTTAATAACCATTATTATTATTATTTTAGTTAATATTTATACATACACACGTGTATATATATATATATTTATATGGAAAGGAAAAAGTTAGAGTAAAATAAAAAAAATATTTTAACATTACGTATAGATAAATTCTCGTTTCAAAAACTAGGGCAATTTTGATTGATGGAAAGAGAATCATTTAAAAAAAAAAAAAAAAAAATTTATTTAACTTTAAATTTTAAAATTTAACCCCTTTTAAATTTTTTTTTTTTTTTAATTAAAAAAAATTCTATATCAATCCCGTTAATTTTCTTTTTTTTTTTTTTTTGCATTATACAAAAAAAAGATTCTTTTATCCTTTTTTTTTCACTTTCCTTACTTCTTATTTGAGGAAATATTTTATTTTCTATCGAGATAAACGCATTTTTCCAAAAAACTATCTTATTTAAATTGTCTTACTATTAATTTTTAAAAATAATAGGTTTCAAAAAAAAAATTAATTAATACTGATTTTTCTTGGTTATTTGAGAAAATAAATTTGAACCATTTTTATATTATCCGTTGAATGACGTAGTATAATTTCCTTATAAATAAGTTGTTATTAATTTCACTTTATGTCGTTATTAAATTCAAATAATTTTCTTATTTTTATTCAAATAATAAATAAAAAATAATAATAATAATTAAAAATAAAATTTATTTCTTATAAATAGTGAAAATCATAAAACTATATTTAATCGTTATTTTCTATATTAAAAAAATAGGAAAAATTTGGATTTTATTATTGTGCCTTGTAATCCATTTACATATTTTCTTAGGAAAATTTCGAAAGGAATCTACGTTTTTATTTAAATTCTTTTGTATACTAATCATTTTTTACTTTTTTTATTTATATTGATTCGATATAAATCGTTATAAAAATTGTCATCAAACGTTTTTTGCGACAATTCATTTCCAGTACGTTATTTTTTAAATATTTATTGAATTTAAATTTTTAGAAATAGATGTAGATTTAAAATATTTAGATACCTAAAAATATAAATAAAGTAAATGAATGAAAAATATACACATTAATAAAAGGAAAAAAAAAAAAAAGGATGACTATCATCAACATTATTTTTAGGTCGGATATAAAATAAAATTTCTACGGCGGATAATATGAGAATTTATTATTGAATTTTTTTTTTTTTGTCTTCTACCTCATATACTCATGCCTTGTATTTGAACTGATCAAACAGGTATAGAAGAGATTTCAAATCCGTACCTGCCCGGGCCCGAGGAGGGCGAAGGGCCAAATCCTGAGAAGTCTTTTCCCGGATCCTATGAGTACCCGCAAGTTCTACAGGTTTCTCACGATAACAACTTGGAGAACCTCTACAATTCTTCTTTTATTAAGCGTACCGTACCTCAGCACGAACCTGACAACCTCAAATTAGTTAATGCGATAATTACACCGGATATCAAAACGAATTCTATTGAAAAATGTTTCGATATAAAACGCGATACTAAAATAATACCGGAAATGCGGGAAGATTTTCTTCGTACTCAAAATAAAAATTCTATTTTCCACAGTGAGATTTTGTTTGAAACGTCTAAAATGAACAAAGCAATTAAAAATTATGATTCAAAAGGATTTCCCTCATCAAAGGAAAATGAATCGTTGACAAATTCATCGTTGAAATTTCAAGAATACAAAAATAAAAATGGTGATAATTATTCAACCGAAGAAATTTGTTCTGAATTTTTAAAAACTATGGAAAATAAAGGAAAAGAAAAGGATATATTAAAAACGTCCGAAGAATGGTGGTCATCTGAAAATAAAATTACCAATGAAAAAAAATTTATTAAAGATGATGAGAGAAATTATGAAGTGTGCAACAACCATGATGATGGTGTTATATTTCCCAAGGACGAATCAAATAACAAAACAAAATTTATTAAATTTCAAGAAATGGATAAATTATCAGAAAGTGATTCGGTGGAAAATGAAAATTGTGAAAAAACCAAAATTGTAGACAATGATGGGAAAAATTTATTGGAAAAAAAAATAAATGATGATTTGAAAAATGAATTTAAAATGCCGGATAAATCAATTATAATTAAGAGTAAAGATGAGGGTTCAAAATTAATGATTCAAAAATATGTAAGGAATAATTTATCTTGTAAAGAATTGAAAAAAATTACAGAAAATGAAAGAGAAAAAAAAAAAAAAATTTGTGATGATAAAATCCTGTCGGAAGTCAAGTACAATAATATAAGCCCGAAAACGAATTTTTTTCCTTATGAAATTTCATCATCTGTTGATATGACAAAAGAAATTTCTAAAAATGAAACAGAAGAATTTTATTCAATTCAAAATAATTTTATTTTAGAAAAAAATGAAAATTCATATCATAGAGAGGAAACCTATGATGATGATGATGATGATGATGACACTTCGATTCAAGAAAATATAATTAAAAAAACTTTTACTTTTCCAACAAAGAGAGAATTATTAATGTTAAAAAAATTTCATCTTCCATGCAATTGGAAAACTAAATTACCAAAATATTTAAATCCGGAAGTATTGGCGGATAAATTGTATACAATTCCAGGTTGTTTCAGGTATTCACCTGGTCTTATTAATTTAGTTTTACAAAAAACAGCTAAACATAAAGAAAAATATTTAAGGAAATTGAAACGTAAAAATGAAATAAAAAAATGTTTTCCCATCGTCAAAGATAATACAATAAACGATTTGGAGCCATCTTTAAAAATTATTGATAATAAAATTACGGATTCAAATCTTTGTTTAATTCATGATAATAAAACAATTAATAATTCTGACATTGAAGAAGAACATAAAAAAAAAGTTTCCAGTATTTCAGAAAATTTTGAAAGTGCATCTAAACGTTTTTTTTCTCTTCAAAAAGATGATTTTGAAAAAAGATTTTTGATAAAGAAAACTCCTGAATGATGTTCGTAACGTTTTTTTTTAAAAAAAGTTATTCAGTTATTTTTTATTATTAAAAAGTTTAAAACTTTATATTAAGTGAAAAATGTTTGTGAGAAATTTGAATTTGAAAAAAAAAAAAATTTAAGTAGTAAAATAAAATGGTGGTACAGACGTTTTAGGTGCCTAATTTTTTTTTTCAGCTTTTAAAAAAAAATTTTCAGTTTGAGTAATAATTAATGTGTGTATGAAAAGTTTTTTTTTTTTTTTTCTTTTTAAGTACAAATATTTTAGTTATTTAAAAATTTAAATTATTATCACTCGCTTGTGTTACCTTTTTTTTTTGTTGTTGTCTAATAACTTTTATATTTAATTTTGTTTCGTTGAGTGTACTGTTACTTTGTTTCACACTCTAAATTTTTAAACTTTTAATAAATATTTAATTTTATTTATTTATGTTTACATCATTTTTCGTTTTAGCAAATGTGTAATTCTAATTTAACAAAAAAGAATTTTTTTTCTCTGTGTAAAGTTTTATTTTTATTTTTTATATTGTATTTTGATTTAAAATTGTTTAAATATGTCAAAATATTCAAATTAAATATTAATACGCCATATTGAAGTTTGTTGAAATAATTAAAAAAAGTTTTTGAACGGAAACGGAAACGGATAATATCGTGGAATTAAGTACTTAAAAAAAAAAAAAACCGTTTACTTGTAATTGTACAACATACTATTCGACTACATACAGCTAATTTATTTTGTTTCAGGGTGAAGAAACCAGTCCTTTTTAATGAATAAATAAATGAATATCTACGTATTTACAAATATATATATATATATATATTTGAAAAGAAATTCGGAAGATTATTGAATCAAATGGTAAGTAAAATGTTTTATTATTGTCTTTTAAAAATTCTGTTATAAGATTATGATTCAAAATGTTTTTTTTTTTTTTTTTTTTTTTTAGGTGAAAAAGGTTATCCTGACAAACTATTAGTTTTTAATTGTTATATAAATTTCGAGCTTAACATAATTTCAATAATATTGTTGTTAACTGGAACGTTTCTAAAATATCATCTTAGCATATACTAAATTGGACTTTGTAAATAGTAGTTTGTCTTTTGCTAGTTGTTTAAATGAAAATAATTTTATTAATGACCTAGGTTAATATTGTTTTCATAATAAATTTAATGTTTTTTCATTTAATTTAAGCTTAAATTATAGCATTGAAATTTTTTGAATTTCAATATTTATGGAAAGGGTGCACGGAATAGTTTTTTCTATCTTTTTTAAATAGATGTAATTATTACTTAATTGTAAAACCTACTTCGTAAATAATTATTTATTTATTTTATTTTAGGCATCTGTATTGTAGACTGAAAAAGAGTTATTAATTTGATTTGATTACTTAACAAAGTTTTAATATTAGATTGTATTGTAATACTAGTATGAATCAGTCTTTCAATACCATTTCTCACCAAATCACCAAAATGCATAATAAAATTTATTCCGTATTTGAGGGTAAGTTTAAAAAAAATTTTTTTTTTTTTTTCATAACATATGTATTTAATGTAACATTTGAACAAAATGAAAATACAAATTCACTTAATTTATTTTTAGAACTGTGGAAGGAAAGAAGTCATTTTAAATTCCTTGTAGAAGATTTAAATAATAGACTACGAGAGAATAATAAGAGCATGGATTTACTCAAAGAGGAAAATGAATGTTTGAAGAATGCAAATGAGAAATTAAAGAAAATTATATCTAAATATAATTGTCCTCTTGAAAAAACTGAGACTGGTTTAAATAAAACAAATACTCTTGGTGCAATAAAATCTTTTCAAGGTATACATTCAATATTATATTAGTAGGCTATAACAATTTGAAATCGTAATGTATTTAACAATTTTTAAATTTTTTAAATTTTTATTTAGGAGATTGTCCTGTCAATTATAAACCAATAAGTTCACTTGAAGAAAAATTTTTGTCAAGCAAACAAAATTATAGGATTACTACTCCAGTAGAAAGGTGAATTTCTAAGGTTTAAAGTAAGTGTTTTATTATTTTTTATTTTACCTTTACTTTTTTTTTTGTAGTTTTACATCTGTAAAAGGTAATGAATTAAAAGGATTTGATTTAAAGGAAAGTTCTACTGTTTTAACTAAAAAACCAGATTCTATTGAATTTTTTTTTTCTAATATAGGTAGGTTCAGTGTTTTTTAAGAAAATTTTAAATGTGATTTTTCTTCATTTGCAAATATAAATTGATTTTTTCATTATTATAATTTGTAAATGAAAATACTTAGTGACCTTATATACCTCACATTAATAATAATTTTTTTTCATTTCTCTTTACAGATGCCAAAAAGGAATTTTATGGTACAACAGTTCAAATGGGAATCGACTCAAAAACAAAAAAACAAAAAATAAGTAAATCAGAAGAATTGAACTCCATAGAAAATGAATTTTTATCACCCTGTAAAAAAAATGTAAGTTCGTTTTTATCAAATTTTCTTTTTAAAACGTTTTTTTCTTTTAATATTATTTGTTTCTTTAAACAGCTTGCTATTGATTGGGAGGATGATTTAATTTGTGAAAGTCCAAAACCAGGTCCTTCTGTTCCATTTATGAAAAAAAAATTTAGCAAAAAAATTATAAATCACGCTGGTAGCAAGGCCACAATCAGTAGAGGTACTATCATAAATTAATTTATTAATTTTAATTAATTTTAATGTAAAGAATTCAATTAGTATTTTTTTTTTTTTTTCATCTCTTTTAAAAGTTTAAAAATTCTATGTAAGTAATTTTATATTTGATGTTATGAATTTTTTTTTAAAGTGGTAATAAAATAATATAGTTATTAATATTAATAAATTGTAATTGTAAAATATTTTATGATAATTTAATTTTTCAGAGATTGAAATGAAAGAAGCTCGTGTTTTATCAACAGAAACTCAAAATAGTAAATCAGCTTCCAAAAATTGTGAAAATGCTGGAGAAATTTTACCTTTGCCGATCGCCATTCGTGAAAAGTAATTAAATATATCATTTATTTTAACACCCAATTGGATAGAAAAAACATAAATTTACTTGTAACTATTATTTTTTTTTATTTTTAAGGAGTCCCGAATATGATTTCGTACCCGAATCAGTTTCTAACAAATCAAGAAATGAGGATATGCTTAAACGGTTATGCGTGAATTGTTGGAAAGTACGCAAGTTATTTTATATTAAAATTCATTCTTACATTATTTAATTTTATTTCATTTCTAACATAATTTTTTTTTTATTTATTTCAGTATTACAAAGATTTGATTGGAAAAGATGCTATTATAAATAATGTAAATGAAATTTTAGTCAATTGTCGTCACCGGAAATCCTCGTATTTTCCCGAAGCTGAGAATACTCCACCAGGTAAGAAATTTCATTTTATCTCTTATTAACATATTTTTTATAACACAAAGGAAATTGGTTTCAACTGGAAAAAAAAAAAAAAAAAAACTTTTAGGGTATTGGAAACCATTTTTAACAGAGACAACCATATCACCTCGGCATTGAAATTCTGTTGCTTCCTTATTTAATAATATTATAAATAATTAAATTTTTTCGACCAAAGTGAATATCTGCTCATGGTTTATTTTCAATTCTAATATATATGTACATATAAATTTACCTAAAGTAAGTAATTTTTATTTATTTGTTTATAACAAATTTTATTAGGTTTAAAATAAATTT